CTGGAATCAGCCTACCGGGGCAAGCAGCCCCGAGCGGTGCGGCTTAACTGGAGAATCCACGCAGCTGTTACACTAAAATGCCAGCTCGAGGTGAATGCAAGGGGCCTTCTCCCAGCCTAGAACCCGTTGCTCTTCTCAAATTATAAATACACGGGGTAGACAAAAGTCCCTGTCTTATAAGAGATTACTGTTCGTGATGCAGAGAGCAAATTGAAATGGTTTTATTTTATATTTTCCCCTCTTGCCTGGCCTCCTTGGCCAAATTAACATTCCACTCTTGCAGGCAGATCTTTCCCCCTCCCCTTTATCTTATGAAGTAATAATTATTCATTAGTAGATTTCGTTAGTCTTTATGCAATAAAAAGGGATGTGATCTGTGAATTAAGAGAAAATATGAAGACTCTAATTCGTCCTTGATTCCCACAAGGGGGGAAATCCTGGCAATAGTAAAATCATGATTAGGAATAGTTACCATATTTTATATAGATTTATTTAGAGTTAGTGATTGGGTTTCTTCTTTATTCTCAGATCAAGGGTCCACTACATAGTACCCTTCCCTGGTTGCTAGGTTCCCAGAATAAATCCTAGGTGAAGACTGGTACCAGCAGCTCTGCAGCACAGAACTAGCCCCTACAGGGGAAAGACTTATCTCAGGAGGGGACACTGAGGCAGGACCCTGGGATTGGCCTCTCTAAAGGCCATCCCCACGGTGTTCCCCACATACTCCCAGCAGAAGGAAGCCTTTTAGACTGATCCCTCAACTTGCAAGACACAATTCACTTGGCAGACTAATCAAAATGATTTCTGATGGGAAAGAAAGGAATGATCCCGCAGTTCAGCATTGTTCTTCTCAAATGTTATCAAAATCACAGCTCCACTGTGCCCCAACCTGACTGGCTGTTCAGGTCAAGCCTTCCACCTTGTGATCCCACTCCTCCAACCACTTTGCTGGGGGCTCTGTGTCCTGTGGACTCTACAGGCACTCAGTAGCATGTTTGACCCTTTGCTGCATCTGTTGAGAGGGACTGAGAGAGCAAGGGCAAGTGCTCCTGTTGGTTGCTTAGGGGTAAGAGGGCTGGCAGAGATATCTGAAAAAATGCTTGCTGATGTCTTCTCAGAAATCAATGACACTTGTCACACAAGCTCTGATTCACACAGACCCTAAGTACTTCTCTCCTTATTTTCCTTTTTTGTGAGTAGTTTGATTTTGCAACTCCGAAAACCAACGAGAAAGAACGAAAGCTCAGAGATGGTGGCTTTCTGGTCTCTCTTGCCTTTCCAAGCTCTTTCTTTTGCTTCAAGCAATTTATTTATTATTTTGAACAACAGGATTTTTTTTTTCAGTCTGACACTGGAAAAACTACAATGTTCCAAGAACAGGGTAGAAATTTCTCTTCAGCTCATTTTCATAAGGAATGAGATAAGTAAAACCTGGCACTTTAATAAGACCGTATCTGAATGGTTTAATGAAAAACAAACACATCCTGGAAGGAGCCACTAATGGCTCTCACCTGGCAGGATCCCTGTTTCCTCCCAACAAGAAAACTCTCAGCAGGGACTGAGTTCCTTCAAACCCACTTTGAAGTAACGGCTCACTCTTTTCCCTTAGACTTCTGTCTTAAAGTCAGCCACATTGGGAATCTGTTGGTGAAGCAATGAGCTCGCAGTCCTAAAACCAAGCCAAAATTATTTGGAGGCAGATTATGTTCTCTGGCCCAACCTGCCCAAATGTCCTTGCACGGTGTGAACGATCACAATCACTAAGTGCTCTTTTCCTGGACACTTTGGCTATGAGAAGCCACTTGAACAGAGGAATGCCTGTTTTTCCCCTGTGGGTAACATCAGTGTAGAGCATCGAAGGACCCCAAATCAAAAGGCATATTCTTTCTGTGACCATTTTTGATATACTGATGACAAAACTTGGTGAGGCTTTTTAGATGGCATACAGGAGTGCCAAATCAGAACCCCTTCTCAATGACATAAAAAGAAAATTCTTTCTACGTCATTTAGTGGGGGAAGAGCAGGAAGAAAATGTGCTTGTTTCTACAAAGAGTTCCTGGCCCTGGAGATCACTTGCATGTATCTGCTGTCTGTGCATTCAGGGGCTGTCCTGCTGGCTTTTAGCTACAAGGACCCTTAATTGAATGGCTATAGATGCCCTGTAGGAAGCCAAAAGGCTTAAGGAAAAATAGCAAAGAATAATAACATCTTCAAATAGTACTTTCTTTGAAAGCAACTGCCCAAGTTCTTATTTAACCCAAACAATAGTATTTGCAACATTTTTCCCTTTCCCTCAAATCTGTCAATGAGCTAAGAGAATGAAATAAGTCATTTCCACCTCTCTTTGTTTCTTATTATTTTCTAAAACTGGCAATACAGTAAACATTGCATAGAAGGATTCTTTGCATGGGGATTGCCATGTATCAGAGCAAGAAGGACTCCGGTAAGACGGAAGGAAGGACATTTGGATACAATTCATAAGTAATTCAGACCACGGTGTTAGCTCAGTGACAATATCAACATGACGCTTAGCTAAATATGAATCTTACTTCCAAATTTTAATACACATAACTACATATTTTCAACCTTAAGTCAAGTAAGAATAAAAGAAGCCTTTTTAGAGAACTTTATTATTTATTATCTCTATCCTGAGCATCACTTTGATTGACGGCCTTGCAAACACTTGAATGCAATTTAGTTAGTATTAACCTCACTCCAGGGGCTGTCCCAGTCCCTGGAGCTGTATTGGCCCAGAGAGGACAAACAAAGATCCCTCACATCGTAGAGCTTATATTCAAGTGTGTGTGTGTGTGTGTGTGTGTGTGTGTGTGTGTGTGTGTGTGTGTGTGTGATGAACAATGAAGATAAGCAAGTAAACTTGTACCATAACAGAAAGAGTGGGTGCTGCCAGAAAGAGCAGGAGACAAGTCAGATGAGGGGTTGCTGGAAGTCAGGGTGTGTTTGGGGGGCTGTGGGGGGCCGCTGCAGCCAACACTAGCAAGCTTGCCAGCTCTGTAAATTGCAGTGTCAGCCTTCAGAAAGCCCCCTGCTTCCTGCCCTTTGCAATCTGATTCCAAGCCTCAGGGTTATCTAATAGATGGATTTTGGAACTCTCTGGGGTCCATCCATGAAACAGCAGTGGGAATCTGGCACTCCTAATGCTGCAAAATTGGAGAAATTTTCACCTCCAACTATGATTACTAGACATGCAGGGTTTAATGCACCACCTGAGAACATAGGATATGCTCAGATAATACTAACTTTGAAGGATGAATGCATGGCTGTCTGGGTAGGTGAATGGATGGATGAATGCAACAGGAACTTGGATTATATGACATCTTGCTATCTATTTCCACTCAGAAAGCATGCATCCCAAGCCTTGGCTAACCTTTCACTTCCATGTACTTTAAGTTGCCATGAGGTCTCAGTCCCCAATGCTCCCTCTAAGCCACTCTGCAAAAGATCCATATTCACACACTGTCCTCCAGGTGAAAGCATCACTCCCCATCACTGAGTCATTGAAGATGCTCCAGCACAGACTCACTCAGATGAGCTCATTCTGAGCAATGGGCTGCATCTCTGGCAGAGCCCATTGCAACTTCTTAGTTACAATTGCTTTGCATGTAATGACAGGGTCCAGCCTAGAGATAAGATTCTTCCTGTATAAACAACCCTTAAACTCCTGGAGCTTTCTACCCTGAGTGTGGGCTGTCAGTAAGCCTCTGACTAAAAATAAGCTATGCTTGCAAAACAAGAACAGAAGCACACATTGTACCCAGATCGCAAGAGCACACACTACAATATCTTTCCTCTCTGTTATTTTTAATTTTTTTTTACAGTTTTAAATTTTGTGATGCAGGGTCTTACTCTGAAATATAGGCTCACTTTGCACTCACAATAATCCTCCTGTCTCGGCTTCTCAATTGCTGAAACAGGAGGT